GTTACCGGTACCCGTGGAGGCGGCCCCTCGTGTGACCCGGATACAGTGAGCACTGGAGCCGCATCCTTCCTCCTCTTCCTCCTCCTTTTCCTGCTCCTGCTCCTCCTCCATCCCGCCAACTGAATACTTTTTAATGTTGCAATGCATCTGGAAGAGCACTTACAAGAAAATCCATACTGACAATGTTTTGATACACTCTTTTCCAGTATACTGTTGCTGAGCCTACTCTTGCAGTAAAAGCAGTAGAAACCTAGGGCTTCACTGGTGCCAGTACGTTAGTACCTATATCCTAGAGTTTTTATCAGCAACTTGCACTGTAGCACAAATAAATTGTGTGTAATTTTCATATTTTCTTTGGATGAGTTTGCTCCAAAAACAAACCAAGGCATAATGTGGCTTAAGGTCTGAACAATATGGAACTAATCAGTCAAAATGCTTCCAACTTACTTATTGGCTCTCTGGAGAACTTCCTAAGGAACAAAGCTCTTCTGTAGCGGTGTGGTGTTAAATGCCTAGAAATAGTCACTCCTACAAAGCAAAAAAAGTGAAGCTTTTGAAATGAGGCAAAATTACACTTCTTGACCATGCAGTGTGTCTCTGGTCCTTGGAATAACTTAGTCTTGTTGAATTTACCATTCATTGTGGAGCCATAAAACAGAGTTCTAAAGTAGCAGACATCTACACTACTTAGACATGAACTGCACAAAAAAGTCTTTGGTTTTTGAGATCACCAAGATCCATACCAGCTGCTGGGGGGGGGGAGGGGGAAATCCATGACATAAAAAAATAACCTTTGCACTTATTAACTTTCTTAATTCTGATATTCAAGGCATGTCAATTCATTGTCTGTTGTTTGTCTAAAATCTTCACCTATACTATCACTTTCTTGCTGTCATTATGTTACACTGTATTCAACAGCAAAAGATATTTAAGGCAAGGCCCTTCTGTCTAGTATCTTATTTCACAACTGCCCTTTCCAAGTTATTTTGTAAGCAATTGTAGTTCCAAATAAAAAAAAGAGAAGCTATTGCAACTCATTGAATTGCAAAAAAGTCCTCCCAATGCAATGACCAGATGTCTAACTTAAAAGTGGTTGGATGGGTTGTCAGTAGGGATAAGGGCAAAACTTCTCACACTTTTTGATCATAAATTTTAAACGTTAAAAGAATTTCTCCATCTTGTCTGAAAAGTCAGCATGTTAGTCCTCAGCAATGGAGTACAGGATTTTTAGTGGCTGATCTTCAGTCAGTTAGATATCCCAAAATGCATTTTTCAGAGGAAATGGTACATTTGCATTTTTTGGATGTGTGTTACACTTAGACATAGTCCACCTGTTAGATGCTTTGGTTTGGGAGGTTGGTCTGGTTTTTAATCAGCTCACTCTTCAGTACAACTGACTTAACACTCTTCGGTATCACGACAGATTTTAGGCTGTTTCAAAAGGCTTCTTGCTTGTTGAGATCTAATGTTATTTTAATTTAACCTTAAATCATAATTTTTTTCTCCTTTTGCTGATGAACAATAGTAATGCCATGCTTTTGAGAGAACTGTTTAGACTCCCAAATAAACGAAAAATTATTTCCTGTGTTCACAAGGGCATCCACATTTTAAGTACTGAAATACTGTGATGAGGTTCCTCCGAGCCTGTTCTCCTCTAGAGAGGAAAGACCTAACCCCTTCAAGTCTTTCTTCACAGGGCAGGTTCTCCAGCCCTTTGATCATCTTCCTGGCCTTCATTTAGACCCTTTACAGTCTGTCTACCTCTTTCTTGAATTGTGAGGAGCAGAACTAGCCACGGTACTCCAGGTGCAGCCTGACAGGCACTAAGGAGCGGGTTGATCACACCTCTCCCTCTGCTAATAACACCCCTGTGGATGCAGCACGAGGATCCAGTTTGCTGGATTCCAGTGTGCTGCTGAATTGTGCCCAGTGTATCCACCAGTCCCTTTCGGCAGGCTGCTCCCCAGCCACGTGCATCACAGCCTGTGCTGGGCCCTTTGCTTCTCTCATGCCAGGTGCAAGACTTTGCACTTGTCTTTGTTAAGCTTCATGCTGTTCTTTCTGGCCCAGTCCTTGATTTAGCTTCATTTTTACCCGCTGATCCTAAGAAGGCAGGGGAGTGGATTTTGCAGAGGCTGTCTCAGTGGGTGAAGTGGGAGAGGAGAGTCCCTAGGGTGCTCTTAATGTGCACTTTCTCACATGAAGTGAGAGCACTGTGGGGTGTCTGCTGAAGTAACAAATGTGGAACGATTTCTGTTAGTGCAGAAACACCAGTCTGGGGTGAAAGATGGCCAAATCTGAGAAACAGCAGAAGTAAAAATTAACTATGCAAGGTGGATGTGATATTCTAAAGGGGCATCTGTGTCCTCCTAAAGTAACTGAGAGTGTCACAAAAGCGACTCCAAGAGTACAGTATGGCTGCGTAGACTTAACTGTCTTCAAAAATAATTCCTGTTTGTGTCAAACTGTTGAACAACTTTATCTGTAAACTCTAATGCAAAAGCTTTGTCTCCCTTAAGGTGTGATTGGTTTTTTTTAAACAACAAAAAAATGTAAATGAGGCCATGATCATGATACTCTTTTTTTTTAAACCATGTTGATGAGCTATTTTATTAGTATTGTGTACACACAAGGTATGAATTTGATAAATCCCTTTGGGTTTTTTGTGGGCTAATTTGTATTTGTTTTTTCTCCTGTTGTCCTTTATCTTTTAGAATACTAAGTTCAAGGCTGCATTAGTAGACTAATTTTATTCATAAAAAAACTCTTCTTGTTTTCAGCAGCCCTAATGTCTGAGGGAGGGAGGAGTTAGTATTATGTGCTGGAATAGTGTTAGACTATTGCTTCAGAACTCCATTCTCTGTTCCACTTTGCTTAAAGCGTCTGAAGAGCCGAAATATAACTGGTATATGTCTGTATATCTTCATCTTGGCCTAGAAAAAAAAATTTTTTTTTTTACTTACCAACTCTCACTGTGTACTTTTTTCATCAGCAATTGACTGCTTTCCTGAAATTTCACCCTAGGATAGCATTTCCATAGTTATTTCAACTCAGAGATTGAAATGTATAGCAATTCTTTTACTCTCTTGCCTCTGCCAGTGGCATCTTAATGTGATAATATAAAGAAATCCCAACTTCTTTTGAGTCCCAGGGTTAGTGCAATCAAGTCCTGCTTGATTATTTTTTTTAATCCACTGCAGGGGAAAAAAAAATAATCTATGCAACATTGCAAAAATACAACTGTAAATCCAAGGAAACTCAGATCTGAATGTGGTTTTGTTCATTGTTTTTCTGAGAGTTATAGCATATTAAAAATTGAAGCTTCCTTTACTAAACAGGCATTTCGGACATCAGAATTGCTTCCAGAGAACATGTTTTCTTTTCCATTGGAAGTATTTGTATGACTTGCATATGTTTTCTTTTTCTAAAATTCCATGCCATTTGCATACTTCTCTATCAAATTGTGGCAGTTACAGCATTGCTTGTATGAACAGTTTTGCTTGAAGTATTTGTGTGCAAGATCTCTTTGTTTCTGCTCCACAGACATTTTACCTACATTGCATGGGGGCAGGGAAGAGAGTGCAGAATGGAATAAGCTTTCTGGAGTTTGAATCCAGGTCACTTGGCTAGCTTCCAGGAGCTAGGCAATAATAGGCACACTGGCTGCTTTCCCTTTTTCATTCTTTCTTTTCCAATGATCTGAAACCTGAGGAGAGAAAACGAACAAGTGGAATTACTCTGAATAAAATTAAAATGTTTCTAGGAATGTACTCACTCTTTCCATTCTAACTTTCTCTCAAGCAGCTAGGATATAGTGTTGTATGTCTCTACTACTGCAAACTCACTTTAATTTTTGTGTGTACTGTCTTTCTTTTGGTAGAAGGAAACCAAAAGTAATGCAAACTTTGACAAATCTCATAACGTTAAAGCTCTTGTTTCATGTGTAGAGAGAAATATTTCTACTATAGCAAGCCAAAAACCTTCTAGAATAGATATTTCATTCTGCTCGCCTAAAGCACGATAGCAATATGATACAGTCCGTACATAGTGTCATCTAATCAATGTGCTCTGTCTTACAGAAGATGCAGACTACAGTGCCTTTGGTACAGATACTATGACAAGGAAGAAAAACGTCTTATCAAATGTGTTACGTCCGGATAATCACAAGAAGAAACCGCACATTGTCATTAGCATGCCACAAGACTTCAGACCAGTGTCTTCTATTATAGATGTAGATATTCTTCCAGAAACCCATCGTAGGGTACGACTTTACAAATATGGAACTGACAAACCCCTTGGATTCTATATACGAGATGGCTCTAGCGTCAGAGTAACACCACATGGATTAGAGAAAGTTCCAGGCATTTTCATATCTAGGCTTGTCCCTGGAGGTCTGGCTCAAAGCACAGGCTTACTGGCTGTCAATGATGAAGTACTGGAGGTGAATGGAATAGAGGTTTCAGGAAAAAGCCTTGATCAGGTTACAGACATGATGATTGCAAACAGCCGTAACCTGATCATTACAGTAAGACCAGCAAACCAGAGAAATAACATTGTGAGGAACAGTAGGACTTCTGGCAGCTCTGGTCAGTCTACTGAATCTAGCCTTCCAAGTAGCATGCCAAATATTTTAGCAAATTTATTGCCAGGAGAGGAGGAGAGTGATGAAGAGGACATTATTATTGAAGATAGTGGTGAGCCACAGCAGATTCCAAAAGCCGCGCCTACTAGCGAAAGCCTAGAATCATTGACGCAAATTGAACTTCATGAGTCAACACAAAATGGATTCCTTCCTTCCAGTGAGATGAACTTGAATCATTCAGCAGGCAGCATTAGCATGGAATATGAAGTACAAGGTCCGGACCATAAATCATTAGAAGAAGATGGAACTATAATAACACTATGAAATTACATTTGTGTACTTTGTACTAAGTAAGGATGCCATACGTGTTTTAATTCGGCTTAATATGTAATACATTTTATACCTCTCCATCTACCAAGCACTGCAGTTAGATTAAAAGGAAGGAAAAAAATAAATACAAGAAGTTCAAAATTATGTAAGTTGATTAACTTCAGCTAATTCTGCACTTCAATGTAAATACTTCACAAAGATGGAAGATAATTTATAAATGACTGAAATTGGATGAGGAAAATTTAAATAGAAAATGAAGGATATCTAAGAGATGGCTGTGAGCTTTCTTTTAAAGGTACTTGATTTTTTTAAAATGCAGAATACTACTTGTTCCATAGAAGTAAACTATTACTGTGTGAAGTTGACTAATGTACTGTGGTTCCATGTTTATCTGAAATGCTGCTTATGTAAGATGGAGCTGCTTTAGCCCCTTCATTCCTGTTCAGGACTGCTGTTTAGCAGGTTGAGCAATAGGGGTATGTGATAGTGTCAGTGGTTCAATAACAGTCAGGATTTGAAGGCTGGGGGCTTTTGAAGTTGACTGTTCCTTTGTAAGTGAATGTGCAACCACAGGCTCATTAGTCATGCACCTTTACTGGTTTTAATGGTAAAGTAAGCTTGCTTTTAATGACTATGAGTTTGAAATTCAAATGTGAAAGTCTTATAACTTATGCATCAAAGACTGTTCTCATTTTAGTTTGCAATAGTTAAGGATATAATTGGATTTAGTTGCTAATCCCAGTAAATTTCAAAGAAATCAAATGTAAACTTAATGCTATGAAAATAATAATCTGTGTTTAAAATCTCAGTTCGAGTAGAAGCTGTAAGGGTTTCTACTAGCAAAGGTTTGAATTATGATTTTCTTCAAACCTTAAGTTAGAACAATTCAAGTTAAATCCCTGGATTTAAAGAAAGTCTTAAATCAAAATGAGGCTTTAATAGAACTTGCTTGATCCATGTGATATTTAATTATTCATTATAAAGAACTAAACTGTAAATGCTGATCTTGTGTACCACTGGCTGGGTGTTTTGAATATTACGAAGTTGCTATATGTAAAAAAAAATACTGATGACAAGTCCTGAGACTGCAAGTGCTTAAGTATGCATGTAATCAGCTGTGAACTTCTGAGGAGAGTTGCTGGGAGAGGTTTCTAGCATTATTCTTCCTTTTTTCCCTTTTTTTAGTATCTTTGCTTTACTACTTTGGCACTCATTTCCCAACCTGACTCTTCTCTGGGAACATAAGTTGTTGGAGGAAAATGAGATGGAGACTAATGGGATTGGGGAGAAGGAATTATGGAGCTTCTCAACAGGGATCCAGTAGTCTGTGGTAACCTCTAAGAAAGAAGTAGGATGCTGCCAGTTCTGTACTGTGGTACTGTGCTTAGTCCAGGTTCTTGGAAGTATATTTTACCCTTTAGGGAGATGTGCTGTGTGGGAGAGGATACTAACCCCTTTCTCTTTCCCTCATTCTATCTTGAGGAAACATCTACCTCTGTTAACTTTAGTAACAAGAGACTAACTGTAAGTTTCATGTTAAGGCATGTGTAAAAGTCTTTATAGGAAATTAGAGGCTAAAATTTTTGTAACAATATAACAAAATTGTTTCAGAAATTCTGCTGTTTAATTTTACTCAATGCACATCTTAAATTCATATCTCATGAGCAGTAGTATTTTTGAGCCTTCAGTACAGTTGGAGTTGAGATCTTACATGTGTCAAAGGTATGTATGCCTGTTTTGGTGGAGAGTCAGCATTATCAGACAGTGGTACTCTGCAAATACAGGTTAGAGTTCTGCTGCATTGGATTTATTTATGATTTCTTCAGTGTGCATATGGAGAGGCCCTGGAATCTTTTCCAACATGAGCAAGAATTCTGAAGCGTGTTACTTATTTTGCTAATAATTATTAAAAATGAAGTAACTACATCCACTTAGTGTGAAATTAGGAAAATGTTTTGCAATGTGTAGACTTTAAATATACATGTTTTCTTTCAGTGCTGCTCAACACTTCCTTTATTTAAGGAAGATTGTTTACTTTAAAATGTCTTTTTTTTTTTCCTTTATCAAAAGACTTTCCTTCCTGTATGAAATAATCAGTGGAGGGTGACTCTCACTTATTATGCTAGCTTGCACTTCTGTGCCTTTTGTTTACTTGAATGTATTATGAATAATCCAAGGAATAAAGGCACTTGGATGAGAAGAGAAATGAAGTCCACAGACAATGAACTGGTAGTGCACTTAATACAGGTGTGATGTTTTCATTCAGTGGAAATACATTATGGGTCTAATGTGGTACGTTAGTGTTTTGCAGCTTGGGTAATAGCTTTGAGCTGTTAATTTACACGGGAGAGTTGAGTCTGAGAATGTTAGTGTTGTAAGGTAACTTACTGCTTAGGTACAAACACCCAAGGTTAGTGTGCTGCCAAACTCTGTGTTACCTAATCTGTACTTATAACAGATGCATGAATAGTTTGACCATATATGCCAGTATTAAGGACTTAACAGAAATATAATTAAAGTCCTACTCTAAATTGCATGAGAATTAATTTCTTGGGACCTTTCCTGCAAATTGCTTAATATAAATGTGAGATAATATTCTTTTTGACACACATCATGTTCTGTTTTACAGGAATCTGGTAACAATGTAGTAAACTAAGCATTTAGGACTTGATAAAATCATTAAAGAATAAACCTAAAAATGGGTTTTTAAAAGTGTGTATTTACAGTTACAGTGACAGACTGCACAGCATGTAATTGCTTAATGCTGCAGTTACCATAAAGTTTCTAAAGTTCTTCTGTATCTTACTAATGCATACACTGTTAATTACAGAATATTTTAAAATTGTTACTTCAGGATGATCAATGGTTGATTATGAGTGGCTAAACTTAATTTTATATATAAATGATGCTGGGGCTCAGTATAAGGTTTTCTAAAATATGCTGATATTGTTAGCCTTTCATTTACTACCTCCTAAATTTTTAACATCTTTACGATTTCCTCCCTGGAAGAAAATACTTACAGGCTTGACTGTTTTATATAGATTTTATCTTTAGTTAGTTTAAAAAAAAAAAAAAAAGAAAAATCCAGAAGTCATAGTGAGGATGCTATGCATGATTGACAATATTACGCTGCTATTAATGTAATCTTTGTGTATTAAGTATCCTGTATATGTAAATTGTATTTTCAATCCAGATTTTATAAATTAATTTATAAATATCCAAATTGTTTCAGAATGGAGAACTAAAATTCCTTTGACTAGTGTTATATGTTGTGTACATGCACAGTGGGGGGACAATTCATTCCTTACTTGTGACTGGGAGATTTAAGTGCACCTTAATAGGAGAAAAAAAAAAATTCTTAATAGAATTAAGATGCATTTACTTTGAAGTTCTGCTATGGTACTGGATAAGTCAAGCCTAACTGTGAATCACTTTTTGTTTTCCACAGCTGAATTAAATTTAGGACAATGTTCTCACAAGCTGACTTTAACATGTGTATTTTTGTGAATATTATGTATTTTCTAATTAAATTTTACTTGCAATGTGATTTTTACATGAATGAACTTGTTTAAAATGTCAAATATCAGTATTTTTCTTACAACTTTAATGTATAATGTACATTGGTATCTCACTGAATGAAGAATGACTTTACAAAATCAAGCTAGATGTAGTTGTATATTAGTCTTATATTTTTACAGACTGGAATAATAAATGGATATAGAAATAAAATGCTTTTTTCTCAATTACTTTGTCAGATAAGGAAAAATGAGGGAAAATATATCTTCTTAGTCTCAAGTGTAAAAGTAGATGGGCTTTGTTTTCTTTGTTTTTTTCCCTCTCTTGGATAGCTAAGTGGGCTCTGTTTTCATAGCAGTCTTGCTGCTTCTCCTCCCTTCTCCGTAGCAAATCTCTACATGTGGAAAGTATGCAAGAGGTCAAAACATTTGTCCTTCAGTCCTGTTGACTAACTTGTGATGTACTTACTCCTACAGTAGCTGCAAATAATGAATCTTACATTGTATGGCTTGCTTGGGGACGACTCATAGTAACGTTTAGGTCATGAGTCCTGGGAGATGGTTCCTCATCCTCTGTCACCTTTGTCAAGTGGTGCTGGTGATGTGGAGGTTTTCACCATTCCTGTAAGTGTGGTATAACTCTCTGTATTGAAGTTTTAACCTGAACCCATTCCACTTGAAATCATGTTTTCTTCCATATCTGATGCCTTGGCAGCCCTTGTAAACATTTACCTAGTGACAAAAGACTTGAGTTTTGTTTAGCCCTTCTGTGTAGGGCTTTTTTAACTGCTGGTCCTGAGGCCAATCATATGACTTCTGTGCTGTACCTTCCTTCACATATGCATGACTAGTTCCATTTGTATGGATCAGTACTCTTCATACTTGCCTGTGTAGCTATGGGGAGGTGACAAAAAGACTGAGAACAGCCTTCCAGTATCTTCATGTTGGTATGTGACTGAAAGAGCCACATCTACTCCATCTGTGTACTCAGGTCTGTGTGTCTCGAAGCTGGAAGAAATTTATTTACTTTACACAGAACCTAACAGCTCACGCCTTTCCTAAAGGAATGCTGCAATTGGTATGGTATTCTTGGAATGGTGTGAGCTTTCAAAATTCATCCTGCCTGTACTAAAATTCAGGTGTAGTATTTTTCCAACTTCAGAACTTTTATCCAAATGCATAAAGCTCTGAAACTGGGAGAGACTTCCAAGTTACCAACCCTTCTTTAACATATGAATTGTGGGAGCATGTAACTTTCTAGTATTGTAGCTGAAGTTTCTCAAGTACTGGACTCTGAACAAATCAGTTATGAATAGGAGGATCAAAATCTTGAAGGATTGCAGACAGACTGCAAGATTAGGCAACCAAATGGCAAACAATCCAATGTAGGTTAAGTGTGTACCTGTTGGGGGAAAAAGTTTGTCTTAATTCTGCATATGTAACAGTGAATCCATGCAGGCTTGCCTCTCATCCTGGGTGATGGTAGTTCAGTGAAAACATTAGCCCCATACTTGCTAGTATGAAAAACAAGCTATGTTAGGGAAGGAATAAAGGACAAAACTGATAACGTGTTACTGTATAAAACCATAGTTCAGCAGTGTTTTTTAATATAATGTGCAGTTCTAATCACTTATTTTCAAAAAGGATGCCAGACTGAAAAAAAGTAATGTTATCTGCATTATAGGATATTTTAGCATAACAAAACTGAGTAGTAGAGGACTGATCAGCCTGAAGACTCTAAAAAGCAATAAAGCTGTGTGTAAGCAGTTATGTATGAGGAAATTAAATATCAACAGATGGATTGAAAAAGTGCAATTAAATATAATTTCCACTTACCAACTCCTGAGTTATTTGATTCACAGTCAACTTTATCTCCCTAAGAAGTCATTTTTAAGGAGGTCAAAACCACATTGAATCTAGAGGACGCTTTCATGTAAGGTATACTGCTACAGAATCAGTCTGGTGCTGACCCAGACTCTCTGCAGATGCATTTACTCCTGCTCCAGTGTTCCTTGGCTGGGGACTGATGCTGAGCACGGGGGGTACTCTCACTGGGGCAGGACATGCTCCTGACAGCAAGAGCACAAACAATTTTGCTAGACCATTAGTATCCATTAATGTTTCTGTGTCTTCCAGCAAGCTTCTACTTAAGATAATTTGTCCTAAGTAAAATCCCTTAAGAATCAAGGGAGTGGGTTATTGGAGGACCAAAGACTTAAGGAACTTGTCCTCAGAAACGCACGTGTCTGAGGATAACATAAGCTTGATGCTTTAGGTTGGACAAGAACTGAAAGAGTAGGCTAATGCTAATATTGCCCTGGACTGAATCTGCAGTGAAGACACAGTACAGGAGCTCATCTGGGACACTTTAAAGGAATCAAACTAAAGTGCATACTCGCACTATTTCTACAAATCCCTGTAATCCCATTAGGAAAACTGGTAGTTTTCCTAAACTAATAAATTAATTGTAAAGGAAGATTGTAACTTTCCCTACTGCTGCCTCCTTGAGGAAGGAATGCAACTGTTCAGTACCACACAGTAACATCTGTCCTTTAAATGCCAGCAGTACTTAATTTCTCAGAGTGATGAGCTCTTAACAAGGTGTTAGGACTTCAGTTATTCTATTAAATTGAAGATTCATGTATGGTGGCAGATACAAAGACTTTCTAGGATTTTCATAAGTAACCAATTGAAAATACTCTTCTTGGTATACCAACAGGATAAACATTTAGACTAGTGCTAAATACCCCTTTGAAGTTTTCTCCTTATCTTAAAGCTAGCTGTGACATTCTAGTTTTGGATTACTTCTGATGAACATGTGTTCCTTGCAATACAAGTATCAATATCAGATACTATTATGTAGTAGTTACACGTGGTAACACTAAACAGAAACAATCAGCTTCAAGGTAGCTTCATCAATGGCTTCTAATACTAACATGAGGGAAGAATGTGTTGGACAGTAAGAACATTTTCTTGGATGGTGTAGAAGTATGCAAGAAATGTTACAGCTGGTTCTTGGAGAGGTGAGATTGTAGCCAAGATCTGAGAGTTCAGATTCCTCGTGCAGCTATGATAGATCACTTGTGTACTTTCCCTCTCAAATAGGAGATAAATTTGTGTCTACAGACTTAATGTAGTATGCTTGATTTTAAAAGTGCTTTAGAAATATGAAGCACAAAGCAATTTGAAGTGCTCTGCTATTTAACTGGTGTTTCTTATTACAGCAGTTCAGAAGTGTTGCTAATAAGATATCATTTCCTGTCCTTCCAATTAACATTCCTTTCTACATGAACTACCATTTTATTACCTGAGTATAAGGAAATGCCTTGCATTTCATCAGTGTGAAAGGCTTGTATTGGGCTCTGTGTTATTATGTTTAAAAAATTATATAAGAGCATATTTACTGCCCCCGTGTTTGCTTTCCACAGGAGAGCATGGTTCTTTTTCTCTGTGGTGCAATGACTTCTTAAGAATACTTTATGAGCACTTGATAATACCTAGTTAGTGATACGGTGCTTTTTTTTGTAGTCACAGATGTGATGGCAATGCTCAGAAACAAGGAACAGTTTGAGGGACAGATGAGAATGGCAGATTATGTGAAAGGAGAGAGAGAAAGTAGGGACATCATCCTGTGCAGGGGTCCATGTCGCTATAAAAATCATTTTATAATGGTGTGATTACAACAGACAAAGCTGATGTGTACCATAATCCAACATGTCTAAATCAGTTCTGAAATGAAGTGGCCTAGTTATTCACACCTGCAAGACAAAATGGAGGTAAGAGTAGAAAAGTAGGAAGTAAATAGATGTGCTAATGAAGGAGGTAAGAGTCCCAGCATATTGCAGAAAGGAATACTTAATTTTGCAATAGCCAAAAGTTTGTCTATTAAGCTGTGTAAGCTGGTGAAATAAAAGATACTCTATCTGCAAGCCAGGCCTCACTTAGACCCTCTTAGCTGTAACAATAACCACTAGGCACAAGAGGGGTATTTCTGTTGTGAGACACAGATTCCTTCAAGGCCTTTTTTTTTTTTTCCTTTGCTGCTTTGCTATTGAGGACCCAGTAAAAAAAGTGAGGTTCTCATTTCTTTGTTGGAGGTTGCAAAGGATCTGGAATTCTTAAAATGCTGAGGAGTAAGTATTGAATACATAGATTTCTCTTACTTTCTGAATGTTACACAAGGTTATATAAAATGCTTAGACTTTTAATTCAGAAATCTAAAATCATAATAGCTTAAATCCCTTAACCTTGTTATTAAGTCTGCTCTTCATACTCTATCCTGTGCTATAAAATGAGAAAAGTAAATATATTTTGCAAATTCATGAACAAATCAGCTAAAGTTTAATGCAAAACCCCTACTTGCTAAGTTTTATCTGGGGCATCTTTCCCTGATAGAAACACTGAGATACAGAATAAGAAACCCTCAGGGTCTACAGCGTAAATGGTACCTGAGTGTTAACGCTGCAAATACATAGCAAGAAAGCTGCTCAGACCGGGAGAGCTTCAACTGAAATGAGAAATAAAGTGCCCAGAGATGCAATGTGTTTGTCCTCTATGCAATGCTAGTCAGTGGAAGGATCAGGTTTTGCAAATACCTTACAATTTTTCAGGTAAGAGGTTTTTGGTCACAAGTGTAGCAGGAAAGGGTCTGTCTGGTGCTGGTGTCAGGGTGACGTAGACTAGATTCAGCTCGCTGTGTCTGTCCCTGCTCTTGAGAAAAGATTTGGGGAAACCCTGCAGCCTATTAGCTCTCTCTTCTGTTGCTTCAAGTACCTCTTCAAGCCTGGCTGCTTTGATCTTCTCAGCAAACTACAGACTATAAATTTGGTATTTTCTTATGAATGCTAAACTGAATTTAAATTTCTCCCATTATTCAGCAATAATTTGGTCTTATCCAAAGCCAAGAAAAGCTCTGGATGACAGTGCAGACCTCTTATGGCCTGTTTTGCAAGCACTCAATATAGTAAAAAATTCTAGAATTAGATAATGTCTCAAACTGATCAGTGGTAAGTACTGCATATTGCATTATGTCCCTGCTCCTACAGAGTCTGCCTGACCCTAGATGAGTCTTCCGTACAAGATGCATGGGCCATGCCTGAGGGCAGGCTGCTTCTGACCTTTTCCAACTCAGAGTAGCACTGTTATTGAGAAGGAACACTTTTCGAGAAATCCTCCCCCTGTTCTGTCTACCAATCCTTGACTGATCATTAGTTA